CGGGGAGCGCGGCGGTGCCCGCGCTGCGCTGCTCGTGCCGCCGCCGGCACCTCCGGCCCTTTGCACGCTGCCGTGGGTCGGCCCCTCTCTGAACTAGCTGGGGTGAAGCATGAAACGGTACCGTGTTCTCACTGCTGATGTGTCAGCGAGGAGGGCACCATGACACTAAAATAAAACCAACCCCCAAAATCTAGCACTTTAAAAGACAGACAATAAAAAAGACCTGTTAGCTCCGGTACTTGGATTCATGTATGTGTAGAAATTGTACTCATTGCATTTTGCCTTTTCCCCTTTTTATTTGCAGTTGGAAAATTATGTACCAAATTACTAACTCTCAGAATAGCACTTTAAAATCTGACTTAAAGCAGCTACGCCTCTAATGAGTGGAATCTATGCTAATTTCATCTCAGTTTACACTGACAACTACTGTTCATGATCTGATTTCCTCTGTCTTTGAAAACCTCATCTGCACTTATCGAAATAGGTTCAAATGCTTATTAAATGAAATCTTATTTGAGGTTAAAAATAACTTTGTTATGAATCTCGTCCATAGGTGGTTTGAGCAAAGCAAGACTTTCCACAAGAAGTTTTGCATATATTCAAATAAATCAGTTTTATGTTTAATCTTTGTTGAAACAAGGATTTGTGTATTTGTAGAAATTCTCTAAATTGGTTCTTTGGAAGCTATTTCACCTTACCCTGCAGATGTGTGTTCAGTCACTCTCTGGTGTTCCGTGTATTTTCCATATAACTTTCATTTTTCTTTTTTCAGCTCTTTAGAATAACTTTATTGTTGTTGCACAGCTTACAGCAGAGTTTGCTAGGGTGCAGTTCTCTTTTTCTGGATTAAGAAAGATAAATTTCGGTACTTTCTAAAGGTATTAAGTACACTTTGGTGTGCATGTGCATGAAATAGACTAATGTATATTTTATTTGTATATGTAGAGTCAGGAAGTTATAGAAAAGGCCATGTGAGAAGGCATATCTAGTACTATTTCAATTACTTTGTAAAATTAAATGTTGGAAAGTGTGCACGAGTGAGTACTTGGGGTACTTTTTGGTGCATTTGGAAAGTAGATGTTGGAGGAGCAATGCTGCAAGCCTTCCAAGTGCCGCGTGGTGTAAAAATCCCCGTGTTACCTGGTGAGGGACAGGCCGTGGCGCAGCCCGGCGTGGTTCTTTGTGTGTGCTCACTGCTTGCGTTGAATTTGCTCCCACCGTGTTCTGGCTGTGCGTGTATAGCAGCGCACGCAGCCAGGACCCGCTGGCCGGGAGCGGGTGGGAGCGCGGCGCG